CTGATGATGTGGCGATGATCGTTGCAGAAAAAAGAAAATAATTTTTAATAAACACTGCAAACAGAGCACTTTTGCTGGTGGCAGACTGGATGGAATGTACACTTCTTAGTTTAGCTCCAGAAAAAACCGAAGCAGTATTGCTCACTAAAAGGAGAAAACTGGGATCAATAACCTGTGATCTGCAAGGCACAGATATAGTACTGAGTAAAGCTGATAATAAGTATCTTGGGGTATGGCTTGACACGAAGCTCACCTTTGCCGAACACGTAATCCAAAGTATCCTCAAGGCAGAACGAACAGTTTTTGCGCTGGCCAATCTGATGCCCAATGTTGGGGGTCCTTGGTCCTCCAAGAGAAATATTTTGTCTGGAGTAGTACACTCCCAGATTTTATACGGTTCACCATCATGGCACACAATAACGCAAAACAAAAAATTGGTCCAAAAACTCACCGGCCCACAAAAGAAATTAACAGTTAGAATATGTAGTGCATATAGAACTATATCTGCAGAAACAGCATGTGTTATTGCTGGAATTACACCAATAGAGCTCCAAGTCATCGAGAGAAAAGAGAAATATGCAGGCATTTCCAAGGGAATCTCTAGGGAAAATTTGATGAATAACTGTCAACGAAAATGACATAGCGGTCAATACGGTAGATGGACACACCGATTAATACCTGCTGCAATGGAGAATTGGTTGAATCGAACCTACGGAGAGGTGGACTACTGTCGGGATACAGTTGTTTCCGTAGGTACCTATATCTATTTAAATCTGTTTAAAATCTGTTTTTCCGTTAATCAGCTGGCTCCCCCATACGAACGACAACTTTCAGAAGTTGAGAAACTTGTGCGAGCTAAGGACTAACGAGGTTTCACCTTTTAACGTGTGATTTCTTAACACGGTTGCAGAATCATCCCAGCTTCAACCAGATAAATTCTCTCGAGAAAAATATCTGGTCGAGGCGGGAATCGAACCCACGGCCTTCCGATTGTGAGTCGGGCGCACTACCACCGCGGCCAATTCCACAATATAACTGCAGAAGAGCATAATCTCCAGATTGTCTTTACTGCAATGCAGACGACGACATAGAACACACCCTTTTTGTCTGTATAAGATGGGAAAATGCGAGACTTCTGTATGCACGTGAAACAAACCTATAGGACGATGAGAGAAATAATCAAAACTAAGGAAAGAGAGAGCAGGTGACGAGAAACTCATGTAATAAGCTCAAGAAAACTTGAGATCAGTCGGAGCACAAATCGATGACCAAATGTGATAGTTAGCTGCGAAAAGTTCGTGATAATAACTGATATTTCTTTAATGCTTGGCAACGGGGGAGAGGTTCAAGTCGTTAGAAATCCGGCACAGAGTCTATGAAGATTTCCCCTGCTCCTCCAACAAAAAAAAAGATAGATACATAGGTAGATAAATAGATATATGTTTATTGACTACGGTATATAAAGGTACATTAGTAGCAAGTCTGTGGTACAGAATGTAAATTAACAGCATAACTGAAAAAAAAAACATAAAAAAATAGTAACAGTTGAAATATACAGGAAAGCAATTGAATAAAATATACCTACATACAATTTCACAAGGAAAGTGAACATGGAATGTGCATGATATTATAAAAGTTCAAGCATTGAAGTTGTGGTAACATATACCTCCGTACTATGAACTTTGTTTTATTAGAAAGTCCTTGATATGCTTTCTGAAACTTGGCGAGGGTAAATTTATGATACCTGGTGGTAGAATATTATATAAATTGACATCGAGTCAGTTATTAGAGGATTTTTGTAAATTGAATCGGTGAGGTCTCAAAAGATTAGCCCCACGAGTATTATAACCGTGAAATTGGGAGTTTTTCGGATATATGAAATAGATGGTAACATCATAATGCCTATTAGTCTTTTGAAAAATGGCCTGCATGAATCGCCAAAACCTGCGTTTGATATAATTCTAATTGCACGATTTTGAAGCGTGAAAACGTTTGTGGCATTGGAGGAGTTGCCCCAAAGTAGAGTTCAATAGCTTAGCATGAAAATAAAAACATGCGTAAGAGTTTCTGTACTAACAGTCCGAGAATGTTTGAATTGAACCACGATTCAGTTTATCTTTCTGCAAATGTCATGGCTGCAAGCAGATGCTGACATTTGTTGTCAGAGCACAAGATCGATGTGTCATCAGCATAAATGACACATGTGTTAGGTAATAGTTCATAGAAGAGATATTTTATTTGAACTTTAAATAGAGACCCCAGCACGGATCTTTGAGGAACTCCGATCTCAATCGGCTGTAGATCAGATATTCTGTTATTGCCTAGATCACAAACTGTTTTCTTTTCATCGAATACCATGAAAAAAGTGAAAGAGTGTTCCAAGCAGTGCATCACAAGTATATACAGGCTGATTCACGGTGGATGGCACATTAGACGTTTCTGGTGAACCAGACAACGGATCACTTTGAAAATTTAATGGAGGGCATATTCGGACATTCTCTAGCCAACTAAAATATTTTCGACAATGCGGTGTTGCCGCTTCTATTAGAAAGCAGTAGCAACTTTGATTTTTCAAA